AATGAGTTACTCTGCTCTATTGATCACCCGATTCTTCCCATGAAATACAAACATCTAATAGAGTTAGCAACTCTTTGTTCAAAGTGTCAGAGTGGGCCTCTCCACTCCTTGCCCCGCGCCCCTGTGGATTGAGAGGGAGGCATAAGCTTGGCCTGGAGCCAGATACCTGCATTGCCAAGAAGTGAAGGTCTGGGAGGCCAACAGGATCAAGTGTGAAAGGAAAAGACAGCTCTCAAAGGGCTGGGAGTAGGCAATGTTTCCAGGTAAAATCGTGGTCACCAAGGAATTCTCAGACACCAGCTGGACGTCCTACATTTAACTCAATTCTCACACTACCTGGCGATAGTATCAGATCCCAGAGGTTAAGGGTCCAGTCCTTCCCCGACATCAATTGCAAGTCCAGGTAGGTAGTTACCTGTGCTTCTGACCAACCAGCTATTGACTGGAGCTTCCACTGACTCCCTCCTTAGTTTCGATTAATTTGCTAGAGTGACTCACAGAACTGAGGGAAACATTTTACTTTCTAGATAACCAACTTATGATACAAATATATAACTCAGGAATGGCCAGATGGAAGGTATGGGCAAGGCATGTGAGAAAGGTCGCAGAACTTTCATGCCCTCTCTGAGCATGCCATTCTCCCCAAATCTTCATGTGCTCACCAATCCAAAAGCTCTCCATATCCTATTCTTTTGAGTTTTTATCGCGGCTTCATTACACAGGCATGACTGATTGAATCATATTGGCCACTGGTGACTGATTCAACCTCCAGCCCCGCTCCTCTCCCCAGATGTCTGGCTTGGGGCTTCAAATTCCAACCTCTAATGCTGGTTGGTTCCTCTAACAACCAGCCTTCATCCATAGGTGTGTTCTAAAAGTCACTTCATTAACATAAAAAAAGAACATCTATCACCTTCCTCAGGAAGGAAATTCTGAGAGTTTTAGGAGCTCTGTGCCAGGAACCAGGAAAAAGATCAAATATATATTTCTTCCTGTAAATCACAGTATCACAGCAGGTAACTAACTGCCCAGGCTGGAGAAGAGGCCCAGGTGGGGAGGTGACTTAGGGTCCTTGAATCTCAGCAGCTTTCTGACAACGTACATCCCGCCCGGAGCCAGCCTCAGAGTGCTAGTGTAGAGCGGGGCTCTGTGGCTAGAGCTGGCTCTAGCTACAGCTCCCCCACCCGACTCCCCCACCCCTTCACCCCCTGCCACTTAGTAACTGAGGGGGCCCAGCAAGAATCAGAGGTATGGCCTGACTGAAATGGTTGCCTGGGCAGGTGGTACTCATGGCTTCTCCTGGAATTGGCAGGTCTTACCACTAGATGGCACTCAGAGTATAACTTTTCTCATTTAATTCTGTCTTGAAAAATTATAATTTTTTATACTATTGAAGAGCACAAGTAGAACTATAGCTTAAAATTCATATAGCTGACCTTGTGCATTATCATACTTGGGTTTCTATCATATTTCCTAGAGTCAAGTTTTTCCCACTCGGGTATGGGTTGTGGCAGGCATGCAACCCGACCTGATCTTCTCCAGCCAAAATGATGAGTCCAGAGGAGACTACTGAGTCTTTCCTCCTCAGTGCTCCCCAAAGGCCGACTAAACCCCTCACTGTCCACACCCGGCCCGCTTTTCCTGAGCAGCGTGACAGCTGCTTGCACCCCCACCCCAAAGCCATCAGGCAAGAGTGAAGGCAAGAGGGCAGAGGTGGCAGTACTTGGGACCGGCAGGAATCTGGTGCTTATACCGCTGCTGTGCTTGAGAGCTTGAAGGGGTACAGGGAGCTTTCTTTTCTCTATCTGCATCCGTAGTCCTCCCGGGCCCAGGTGGGAAAGACGCTAGAACCTGTGCCAGGTCCCTATGGTGGAGGGAGGGCAGCTCAAATGTGTGGCTTTGGAAGTCAAATTGCCTAGGTACAAGCCCAAAGCCTGTGTGTCCTTGGGCAAGTCTCCTACTCTTTCTAACCTCCAGTGCCCTTTTTAATAAAATAGGCATAACAATACCCTTACCTTAGATGGATCTTTTGAGTACTGTGGCAGGCAAAATAGAGCCCCCATAGAGGTGTCTGCATCCTAATTTCTGGAACCTATGACTATTACATTACATGGCAAATGGGCTTTCATTCCTCCAGAGTCGAGAAATCCTTGTAAATAGCTCTGATATACCTAGATAAAGAGCACGAGCACTGGTAATTTTCCTTGTCTGGTCCTTGGGGCACACACCTTTTTGAATTTATGACTGGGGGTGTTGACTTCCACTTTTCCATTCTCCAGGCCCGGAGCCCCTCCTCCAGCCCTTCCTTCCGTGTGCCTGGCTTCCCTTCCGCTGAGTGGCAGGATTCTGTCTCCCTCACTGCCCTCCTTCATCTCTTCTCTGTTTTCTTTGCAGAAGCCTTTACTCCTGTTCTATAGTCAACCAAACATCAATCTTCCACTCCCTACCCTGAGATCACTCTGTTGTCACCTTCTAATGTGCTATGTAGCACTTGCAGTAGATAAAAAGCCCAAGTAGGAAGTGCCAAAAAACCACGGTGCTGGAAGTTTGTATGCAGGAAATGCAGTTGGAGGGTCTCCCTGCACTTCAGCTTCAGCCTGTGCCTCCTGGAATTCCCAGGAACTTTTGGCTGGCCTGAGCCTAGGCTGATCCATGCCTTGATGGACAGCCAATAGCCAGGTCACTTCATCAGAAAGGTTGGGTGGCTTTGCCGCTGTGAGAGTGAAAACTTACTGGCACATAGACCCCAGTGAAGCCCTAGTACAGTCAGTTCACAGCCACCACTTCCCAGAAAGAAGTCTAAAATCGGATGCACACTGATAGGACATGATGACGAGCTGCCTTGCCCAGATTCCCGGCACGCTGTTTCCATCCATGCCGGTGGCCTCTTCCTCAAGCACTTGCAAATCTCCCTGAAGGCCTTCTCTGTCTGTAGGGAGCTTGGCCCATGTGTAGGGCAGGACAGAAGTGCCAGTGTCAGCTCCCCAAGAAGCAGCTCTCAATTAATGGCTGGTGGGAACTGGCAGGTATACCCTCCCTGGCCTCCTCGCTCCTTGGGCCAGATACCTCTAAGGCCTGTTCCCCACAGCTTCCACAAGGCTCCACCGGAACTGAGCCCTGGGTGCCACAGCAGCAGCTGTTCGCAGCATACTCTGACTGGCTCTCCTCTCTTCCTGTTCCCTTCCCCATGCTTTTTGGGCAAATAAACTGCTTAGACACTGTCTCAGGCTCTGCTTCTGGGAGAGGCCAGGATAAATACACCACAGCCTGACTGTAGAACCCAAGCTCTCTGTGAATAGCTCAATAATGATCACATTTTAAAACCAGAAACTTAAAAAAATTGTTTTGTGACTGCTAACATGATAGCACTTCTTTGGGTTAAATTATTTCCCTTCTTCTCACCACATGGCAATTCTGTTTTAGGATTCATGATAAAACTTATTTTAATGTTCTGAATTGGTGCTAGAGACTTATTTGCATGTGACCCAATTTTGTTGTGTTTGGACCTTCACCCTAAGGTATCCATGGATTTTTAAAAAATCTTGTGTTTATTGTGAATTTAAAAACCTACATTTTCTTCTTACCCAAAAGCTAATTACCCAGATTGGATTTTCTAATTTCCTCCCAAGTTTGCAATACCCTCTAGATTTGACCCAAATTTCTGAGTCGTGCTTAGAGACAGTGCTAGAGGATCATGAAAGAGCTCTGCCCTTCCCAGGCTAGAGTTGGTTACAGCCCCATTGAGGCCACCAGGGTTAGCCCCAGCACAGGGCTGCAAGGTGCTCAGGCCTACCTGGGCTGATCTCGAAGAGGTGCTTCCCCACGTCCTCAGGGCCAGGAAGAAGTTCAGTCACCTGCGTCCCTTGTAGAGAAATAAATCCCTAAAGTAGAGACACAAACACACGAGAAATGAGATGGCTGGCAAAGGATTTCTGTGGTCAGGGATTCTGAAGAGGGAGAGCGGAGCCTCGGGGTCAGGGATCTACCCCTCCGGGTCCTGGCTGGGCAAGTGGGTGCCAGGAGGAGCTCAGGCTTCCTCTTCAAGGCAGGTACCAGGTGCAGCTGAGGCCCTGAGTGGGTGGGTCCATGGTCAAGTGGGGCGCCACTACCGCCTGCACATACCAGTGGAGAAGCTCTGCCCACAGGCACTGCCAGCACTGCCCACAGTTGTTACTCCCCTGGTTAAAGGGTTAAAACACGAGTCTGGAGCAGGGAGAAGGCTCCCATATTAACCCTTCCCATCTGCAGCCTTTCTAGGGGGTTTTAGGCCGTAGAGGGTCAGGGAGAGAAAAGCTGGCACATTGGAACTGGCTTCTCCTATGTAAATGTCCCTGAGGTGACATGAGGGAAAGGATCAGTAGATCTGTGTGAGTCTAGATCTGGCCTCTCCTGGCAGGGTGAGATTTCATTTCTTTACCTGTTTAATGGGAGTCAGCTGTCATATGAGAGGTACCCAGCACATATTGTACCACATGCCTGGTATGTCTGTGTGTGTACGTTACAGGGGTGGTTCCCACCCTGCTCTCTAATGACGAAATCTGGTAGCAAAGCTGAAAGATGCAGGAAAAGAGCATGGCATGTAGGGACAGGAAGGTTGGGTTTGAGTCCCAACCCTGCACCTCCTGGCTATGTGACCTCAGGCAGATGGCTTAACTTCTTTGAACCTCAGTTTCTACATCTCTACAATGAAACAGTAACTTCCACTTCTCAAGGATGTTGAGACTCCAGATTCCTGTTTGGGATGTCCTGCTATAGATGAGGTACTGTTATAACTGCCCTGACTTACCCTTTTCCCATCCACCAGATTAGGCCGCCTTTGTCCCCCTTCTCTATATGTGATTGATCTCTGTTGAAGCCTTTCTTCATTTCATTCATGCTCAGATTTGCCCAACTCAGACTGCGTGTGGCTCTGACTACACATTTTTGATTCTCTCCATGGAAAACCCATTTTAAACTCCATCCCTACAGCTAAATCCTGGTTTAGCTACTTACTGGCTGTGTGACCCCAGGCAAATGGCTTAACTTCTCTGTGCAATCTCCCAAAGTACTATAAATTAGTACTTGAGAAGTCCTTAGAGCAGTGCCTGGAATGTAGTGAAAGCTATGTGTTTGTCAAATAAACCTCAGCTATTATTTCGTGTCAGGGCTCCACGCTGGGTGGGAAAACAGCATCCCTGTGTCTGCACTTGCCCAGGTGAGGGGCGTGGTCACCTGCTTTATCCACATGGCCTCTAGCCTCCAACCCTATGCATGCTCACAGAGCACTCCTTTCCCCACCTCTATCTTTTCCAGGCAATTCCTGGCTTTAACAGGGTGACTAGAGCCTCCACGTGGTGCTGGAGTCTTGTGCTGCAAGGACACATGAAAATGTGTTTTCTCATTTAAGCAACATAAAGGGAGAACGACATCTTTACCCACAAATGCTTGCTTTAGAGAAATGACAGCAATAAACCAGAGAACCATCTGGTAATCAGTATAACTGAATTAACAGTTACTTTCTTTCTAGGGAACCTGGAGCTACTGGGAATAAATTAGGACTGCAGCACCAGGATGGGGAAATGTGCTCATTAGAGGGTGTGGGTGAGATCCATCACTGGCTAATGGGATAGGTCTTTGAAGTTTGCTGTTTCAGTAACTGTCTCTGTGTAATTCTGGGCACTGCTTTTTTTCTCTGTGCCTCAATATCTGTCATCCATAAAATGGGAGTAACAATATTGACGTTGACATTACTTTCTACTACAGCTAAATGAAAAAGCAATAATAGCTTTGTTTAAGGAGCTTGTATATTTCTGGCTTATTGTCTAATTATTGGATTTAAGCTACTATTAACCCCATCTTCCTGGATGAGCAGATGGAGGCCGGAGAGATGGAGAAGCCAGCCTTGTGTCCTCCTGCTAGCAAAGATTACCTGGAATGTGCACCCAACTGTGTCTGATGCTTGCGCACTTTGCTCCCACATTTGTGACAGCAGCCACTGGCTACTTTGTGTGCAAGAAGCCTCTGTGGAGAGCCAGGCTTTGACTTTGGGACCTATAGCTCACCCCTCTCTCAGGTGAATCCCAGTGTGGTTCCCACCACTGCAAGGGGGAACTGAAAAATATTTGAAGAAATAATGGCTGAAACTGTTCCCAATTTATCAACATTATAAACCCGCAGATCCAAGATGTCCAATGAGCCCCAAGCACAAGAAACATGAAAAAGTACATGAAGGCATATCATAACCAAATGATTCATACTCATTTATGAAAAGAAACACTTAAAAGTAGCCAGAAGAAAATGATGTAATATGTACAGAGGAGTAAAGTTAGTGGAGCAATATCTTTAAACTATTGAAAGTAAAATCTGTTAACCCAGTATTCTGAATCTACTGAAAATATTCCTCAAGAATGAAGTCTAAGTAAAGACCTTTTAAGGTATATTAAAGCTGAAATACAGCTGAAAATCACACCAGACTCACACTACAAGAACTGTTAAAGACAAATGGGCAAAAGAAAAATAATATTAGATGGAAATACGAATCTACCCAAAGAATGAAGATTACTGGAATGGCAAAAATATGAATAAGTATAATATAAGATTTTCTCTTATGATTTGTCTCTTTAAAATATAATCAACTATTTAAGTGAAAAGAACAGTGTGAGGCTGATAACATATATAGAAGCAATATGTGTATTAATAATAGCATAAAGGATGGAAAGGGATACATGTAGGTACACTGTTATAAGTTTATTTTACTATACATAAGATGATATAACACCATTTGAAGGTGGGCTATGAAAAGTTAAATTCGTATACTAAAACCCTAAAGCATCACTAAAATAATAAAATGTTAAAATTAAGCCAGCAAATGAGATAAAATGGAGTAAAAATTTTAATTAATCAAAAAAAAAAAAAAAGCCAGTTTTTCTGGTGACAAAAGGGAATAGGACAAATAGGAAACAAATAGCAAGATTTAAACTTATGTATTTAAACTTAACCATATTGACAATCACATTAAATGAAAATTATCTAAACACCTCCAATTAAAAGGCAGAGATTGCTATACTGGACAAAGAACTGAAGATGGACTGATTATATTAATATCAAACAAGAGATATTTCAGGCCAAAGAATATTACCAGAGATAAAAAAGATCATTTCATAACTATAAAAGGGTCGATTCATTAAGAGAACACAACAATCTTAAAAGTTTATACAACTAATAACAGAGCTACAAAATAACGAAAACCTATAGAACTTCAAGGAGAAAAAGAAAAAAACAATTACAGTAAAAAAATGTAAACATGCTTATCAATGATTGATAGAATAAGTAGACAAAAAATCAGTAAGTATATAGATAATGTGAAATTTTTACTAATATGGTATAAACAAGTCTCAATAAATGGGAGAAATTTTAAATACTACATATGTTTCTCTGACCATGGAATTAAGTTAGAAATCAATAACAGAAAGATTTCTGGAAGTTCTCCAATATTTGGAAACCAATTAACACATTTCTAAATTATTTATAAGTCAAAGAAAAATCAAAAAGAAAAATTAAAAAGTACTTTGAACTGAATAAAAATGAAAACACAACACGTAAAATTTGTGAAATATCTTTAAGAAGTACTTAGGGAGTAAATTATAGCATGAAATGCAGATATTAGAAAAGAACTCAGTTTTTACTTTGAGAAACTACACAAAGAAGAGCAAATGAAACCCAAAGTAAAAGAGAGAAAAAATAGTTTACGGCCATGCCACTCTGAACAAGCCCAATCCCATCTGATCTCAGAAGCTAAGCAGGGTTGGGCCTGGTTAGTACTTGGATGGGAGACCACCTAGGAAGATCAGGTGCTGTAGGCGTAAAAAATAAAAAATAAGGGATCGTAATTTGACACGGTCCTTGCAATCTGTGAGGTCAACCAAGGGTTGCCTCGCCTAAAAAAATAAAAATAAAAATAAAAATAAAGATTAGAGTAGCTGTAAATAAAACAAAAAATAGAAAAAATAATAAGAAGATCAATTAATTCAAGAGTTGATTCTTTGAGGAGATCAATAAAATTGACAAGCCTTTAACCAGACTAATTAGGAAAAAAAGAGAGAAGATAAATCACCAATATCAGGAATGAGAGAGGTGACATCACTATAGAGTCTTCAGATAATAAAAGGATAATAAGGTAATGTTAAGAACGATGTTATGCTAGTAAAATTTGGCAACAGATAAAATGGACAAAAAAGACATAGACTACTGAAGTCCACTCAAAAAGAAATAGCTAAATAGCCCTATATTTGATAAAGAAGTGGAATTTGTAGCTAAAACCTTCCCATAAAGAAAACTCCAGGCTCAGATGGCTTCACTGGTGAATTCCACCAAATATTTAAGGAAGAAATAATACCAACACTGTATGAACTCTTCTTGAAGACTGAAAAAGAGGGCATATCTCCCGATGCATTTTATAAGGCCAGTACTACCTTGATATAAAACTAGGCAAAGACATTACAAGAAAAGGACACTACAGACCGATATCCTTCAGGAATATAGATGCAAAAATTCCTGGGTGAAATTTTAGCAAATCCATTTCAAAAATATATAAAAAGGAAAATAATGACTAACTGAGGTTTATCTCAATTGTACAATGTTAGTTAAGATTCCCAAATCAATCAGTGTAATTCACCAAATTAAAAAACTAAAAGAGAGAAAACATATGATCATCTCAAAAGATGCAGAAAAAGCATTTGACAAAATTCAACATCCATTCCTGATCAAAGTTCTCAACAAACTAGGGATAGAAGAGAACTTCTTTAATCTGATAAAGGGTGCAAACTAATAAATGAGTTTGGTTAGGTTGTAGGGTACAAGATAAATGCACAAAACTAAATCACGTCTCTATAATTGGATGTTG